CCTGTCAGGGCCCCGCACCTCCCCCCGAGGGCGCCCCCAGCCCCTGCCAGACCCCCAGCCCAGACCTTGATGCCGTGCTCAGTGTAGAAGTCGGCGGTGCCGAGGCTGGCGTACAGCTTGTAGCCGAGGCTCTCCAGGGTCCGTACCGTGGGCAGCAGCTCACTCTTGTTCTGCAATGACCCCGGGGCCGGTCAGAGGGCAGAGGGGAGGGCCCCGGCCCCCGCACCGCAGCCCCACACACCTTGTAGCTGCCGATGGTCAGCAGGATGTTCTTCTTGGGGATCTTGAAGCCAGTGCTGAGCATGGCCTTCAGGTAAGCCTCGCAGCGGTTCTCCCCGAAGCAGGCCACCTCGCCTGTGCTGGTCATCTCCACACCCAGCACCACGTCGGCGCCCGCCAGGCGCGAGAAGGAGAACTGGGGCACCTGGGGGCAGGGGGGGCTCAGGGGCCACCCAGCCACATGCCCCAGCCCAGCCCCCATGGCCCCCGCTCACCTTGACGCCGACGATGCCTGTGCCCGTCATCAGCCCCACGGGCTCCACATCCTCGCCCATGATCACCTGGCTGGCCAGAGCCACCAGGTCCACCCCCAGGGTCTTGGAGACAAAGGGAAAGGAGCGGGAGACGCGGACGTTGCACTCGATCACCTTCAGCTGGTCATCCTGGGGGAGAGGGGACAGCATGAGGCATGTCTGGGGCCACAGGGTATCCCCCCGCCAGCACTGTGCCGACCTGGCGCAGTCCCCCCAGCTGGGGTACCTTGGCGATGAGCTGCAGGTTGAAGGGCCCAGTGACCTGCAGCTCCTGCCCGACAGCGTGGACGATGGCCTTGATGCGCTCCAGCGTCTTGGGGGTGATGTCCTGGGGAGGCGTCACCAGCGTGGCGTCACCCGAGTGCACCCCGGCATTCTCCACGTGCTCCGATATGGCGCTGGCCACCACCACACCATCACAGGCCACTGCGTCCACGTCAATCTCCTGTGAGCAGGAACATGGTCACAGCCTGGCACCGGGGTGGGGGGATGGGGGTTCTCGCGGGGAGCCGGAGCGCCCCGGGGCCAGAGCAGCCTCCTGGATGGACCTTGGCCTCCTGGATGAACTTGGAGATGACAACGGGCTGCTCCTTGGACACGGCCACAGCGTTGCTCAGGAACTTCTCCAGGTCGCTGTCCGAGTAGGCCACGTTCATGGCGGCGCCGCTCAGCACGTAGGAGGGGCGCACAACACAGGGGTACCCCACCTTGCAGCAGAAGTGTTTGGCCGACTGCAGGAGAGCCAGCACCCTCAGGGGACGTGCAAGGGCTGGTCCCGCCTCGGGCAGCCCCATCGCCCTCACCGACCCCCCACGCCCCCCACCTCCATGTCAGAGAGCTCCTTCCAGAGGGGCTGGCTGATGCCGATGGAGTCGAGCAGGCGGGAGAACTTGAAGCGGTTCTCGGCTGAGTCGATGGCCTCCGGGGAGGTGCCCAGGATGCGGCACTGCTGCCGGTGCAGGGCCATGGCGATGTTGTTGGGCAGCTGCCCACCCATGGAGAGGATCACGCCCTCAGGATTCTCCAGCTCGTAGATGTCCATCACCACCTGCGGCACCACATGGGGCAGGGGGATGGCTGGGACAGGGGCCATGGCAACCCTCACCCTGCCCCAGCCCCATGGCAGGCAGGGCCCCCAGCCCCGCTCACCTCAAAGGAGATCTCATCGAAGTAGAGGCGGTCGCACATGTCGTAGTCGGTGCTCACCGTCTCGGGATTGTAGTTCACCATGATTGTCTTGAAGCCCATCTGCAGGGGGAGAGGGACGAGGTGAGGCCAAAGGCCCCCCGGGGCGCCCCGCTCCTCCCCAGCCCCGTTCTCTGACTAAGGGCACCTGACCCACCGACCCCACAGGGTGCTGGGGCTCAGCCGACCTTGCGGAGCTCCTGGATGCAGCCGACAGCGCACCAGTCAAACTCGACGCTGCTGCCAATGCGGTAGACGCCAGAGCCAATGACCATAACGTGGGGCTCACGGAAGGCCAGGTCATGCTCAGTGCCGTTGTAGGTCAGGTACAGGTAGTTGGTTTGGGCTGGCCACTCTGCCGCCACGGTGTCAATCTGCTTCACCACCGGCAGGATCTTCAGGTCGCGCCGCATCTTCCGCACGGCCAGCTCGGTGCTGCGAGGGGCAGGGTAAGCGCCGGGACGCGGGCTGGGGTGCAGAGCGGGGCCCACCCCCTCCCCACGTTACCTGAGCACAGCCAGGGCCACCTGCTTGTCGGAGAAGCCAAGCTGCTTGGCCCGCTTGAGCACGGCGGGCGGCATGGTGCTCTGCTCCTCGCGGTACGACTCCAGCAGCACCGCGTGGTCCGTGATGTTCTTCATCTTGTGCAGGAACCAGCGGTCGATCTTGGTCAGCTCGTAGAGCCGCTCAATGGAGTAGCCGGCCCGCAGCGCGGCTGCCAGCACGAAGATCCGCTTGTCCGTTGGTGTCTCCAGCTCCTGCCGGGCCAGGGGGGGTGGTGAGCGGGACTGGGAGCGGGGCAGACGGCCGCCTCCTCCCCGACTGCACTGGCAGCCCAGCCCCCCGCCCCAGCTCCCCGGCACTCACCACATCCGAGGCCGGCTTCACAGTATGGTCAAAGCCCACGCAGTTCTCATCCACCATCCTCAGCGCCTTCTGGAAAGCCTCCTCGAAGTTCCTCCCAATGGCCATGACCTCCCCTGAGGACAGGGCTGTAAGCGGCTGGACCCTGCGCCCACCGCATTGCTCCACCCATGCTCCCCACCGGCCCCGCGCTCACCCACGCTCTTCATGGAGCTGCCGATCTTGGTGCTGACGCGCAGGAACTTGCTGAGGTCCCAGCGCGGGATCTTCACCACGCAGTAATCCAGGCTGGGCTCGAAGTTGGCTGTGGTGGAGTTGGTGACGGAGTTCCTGGGGAAGGGATGGGGGTCAGCATCCAGGGCTGTCCTGTCAGGGGGGCGCAAGGCCAGCCAGGGCAGCGCCCCATCCCACGCCACAGTGGTGCCATTACCTGAGGAGGGGCAGGGGGATGCCCAGGGCCAGCTTGGCAGCCACATAGGCCAGGGGGTAGCCGGTGGCCTTGCTGGCCAGGGCCGAGCTGCGGGAGAGCCGGGCGTTCACCTCGATGATGTAGTACTGCAGGCAGCAGGAGGGCAGGGTTAGCAGGGCAGCGCAGGATGCAGCCCCTGCAGCACAAGGCCAGGCGCTGGCAGCACAGCTCCGTCCTGCCCGGTGCTCAGCTGGCACCGAAGAGCCGCTAGCGCGCAGAGAGCACAAATAGCAATGGGGACCAAACGTGAGGGCAGCTGGGCTGGAGAAGGACAGCCATCGCCGATGGCTGTGGCAAGGTGGAGCTGGGCAGAGACAGCCCAAGGACCGCGCACGCACATGGCACCAGGACTGAGAGCCCCAGCGCCTTGCTGCACTCACAGGGGCTGGCCGAGCCGCTGACACAGCGAGACCCTCTGGCCCCAGGGACGCCAGACGCCGTGGCCTGGGGAGACCGGTGAGGCACAGCCCCACGGGACAGTGCAGGGCAGAACCCGGACCCGGGCTCCCCCAGGGCAGGGCTGGCTGGGGGGGGTCAGGAGGAGGAGCTACAGCCGGAGCCCTCAAAGGGCCACACTCACCTGCTCCGACTCGGGGTTCAGGGCAAACTGGATGTTGCACTCGCCCACGATGCCCAGGTGCTGCACCACCTTCACGGCCGTGCGCCGCAGCATGAAGTACTCAGTGTCATTGAGGGTCTGGCTGGGTGCCACCACGATGGACTCACCCGTGTGGATCCCCAGCGGGTCCAGGTTCTCCATGTTGCACACCTGGTAGCAGGGGGGTCACCATGGGCTGCCGAGGTCCCGACCCCCACACGCTGCCCATGCATGCTCTTGGCTGCTGCTGCCCCAGGCGGGTCCCTCCTGGCTCCCACCACCTGCCCCCCTGCCCCGGGGACCGACGGGGGCTCCTCTGCACAGCTAGGACTTGAACATGAGCCCCTGGGACACCCCACGTGTTGCAGCCCCCCCAGAGCACGAAGGGTGCGGGAGGTCTGGCTCAAGGGGTGCAGCTCCCAGCAGCTGTGCTGGCACCACAGGAGGGGCTGGGGAGCCCTCCCTGGGGATGGGGTCCAGCAGGAGCCCCTGACCCCACGCCCCCCAGCACCCACTCCTCTGTGAATCCCCCCCAGAAGAGGCCTGGGGAGTCTTCCCCCGTCCTGTACCGTAACACAGTTGTTGTAGGCATCCCGCACCACCTCGTACTCGATCTCCTTCCAGCCCTTCAGGGACTTGTCCACCAGGACCTGGGAGGTGTGGGTGAAAGCCTGGCTCACCAGTGCCGCCAGTTCCTCCCGGGTGTTGGCAAAGCCGGAGCCCAGGCCCCCGAGGGCATAGGCAGAGCGGACCAGCACCGGGTACCCCAGCCGCTCGGCCGCCGCCTGTGCCTGCAGAGAGTAACAGGGTCACGATGGGAGCAGGGAGGACAGCACCCTGCCCGGGAGCTGCCCCCACCCTGCCCCACAACCACCCCCAGACCTGCTCCAGGGAGGCAGCGGCCTCGCTGGGCGCCACATGCTCCCCGATCTCCTCCATCTTCTCCACAAAGACTTTGCGATCCTCTGTCATCTCGATGGAGGTGACAGGGGTGCCCAGCACCCGCACGCGGTACCGCTCCAGCACGCCCGCCTTGGTGAGCTCCACGCCGCAGTTGAGGGCCGTCTGCCCCCCAAAGGTCAGCAGCACCCCATCGGGGCGCTCGTTCCGGATGACCTGGGGAGCACGGGGTGGTGGGGCAGGGACCCATGGCAGCCCCACAGAATGCGCCCTGCGCCCTCCAGCTGCCGACACGCCTGTGCTGCCCCCCAAGCACCCCTCCACCACCCTTCTGGGTATGAGCCCCCCTGCCACCCCACAGCCT